CTGTCTGTCTGGCGAGCGCACGCGCCCTACAATGAAAATCTCTCAAAAAACAAAAAAAAACAAACAAAAAAAACAAACAAAAAAAAGTCCCTCATCTCAAAAAGTATGCATAAAGAATAGATTACAAGGGGCTATCCAAAAGACCAGGAAACTAAGAGGCTACCAAATAAATAAAACAGTGTGTTAATATCTGCATGCAAAAGTCTGATACAATATATACACCATATAGAGTAAACAACAGTTATCTTTTGGAAATGAGATTGCTAAATTAGAGATTCCCTGGATTATTTTAATTATTTTGTGTAAAGAGAAGTATTACTTTCTAGTAATAAAAGAAAAAGCTAATTTTCTTAAGTATGCAGTAATTCAGGTGATATATGCTGAAAGCATAAACCAAATTCATGAGACTGGAATAGGTCTAAGAGTTTAAGAAAAAAAAAATGAGCTCAATCTTGATAGGTTGAGTTGAAGATTGTAGTTGTTTATCCAGAAAGAAAAAGATGGTATACATTCTGGGTATTTGAAAATTAACCTTAGGAGAAAAAGGACTGGATTTATGCAACACTAAGGAGTTACTACATGGTAATTAATGCCCCAGAAGTGGCTGAGTTTTCCAAAGAAGTGCACGTAAAGTCAGATGTTAAGACAATTCAGTATAGAATAAGCCTTGAAAGCACCAATATTTAAAAAGTATTTTTAGGAAGAGTGGCCACCGTCCTATCATTATGAAAACCTACACCAAGCTTTCTACCTTTATATCTGTGCACTACGGTGCACTGCCTGCCACTCATCGTGAACGGACACAGAAACTCCTGTGTCCCTTCAGTGATACCAAACACTGTAGACATAAAAAGTAATGTTCAGCTCTCCCTGTTTTTTTAATTCGCAGAGGGCACCTGTGTTCACCAGAGATAGAGAGGGAAAGGGTAAAAAGCACCAGTATGGGGCGTGGTCATTCCATAGTTCTTTCTTTCTCCTTCATTGCTGCAACCTGTCAGGATTTGGGGCATGCACACACATGTACATGGTGTGTTTTTCAAGTCATTGGGGTCAAGAGTCCAACGCAGTCAGTCATGTGGAATCCAACTCCCTAACTGATGGGGCCAGTTTCAACCCTTACTTTTAAGGGATCACAAAGTAACAGGAAAAAATAAAAATAAAAAAATAAAAAACAGAAATATATGTTTACAACACATTGTGGAAAATACAAGAATTGAAATTATATAAAGTCCTGATAAAAATATAGAAGAGTGGGGACCAGCAGATGGCATAATGGTTACGTGGCTGGACTCCCACATGAGCAACCACGGCTTGAGTCTCGGCCCTGGTGGCTTAAAACTCATGACGGGACCAGCAGGTGGCATGGTGGTTAAGGTGCTGGACATTCCCACATGGCCAGTTCAAGTTCCAAACCTGGTGGCTTGCTTTCTCAATTTCCTTCTCTGTGTGCTTGTCTTTCTCTGGTCAAATTAAACTAAATGAATAAATAAAAGAAATCAAATCAATAAAAAAAAAACATTATGCCAGGTACATGTATGTGTGTGCCCAATATCCTGAGAGGAGAATGGAGAAGAGGGATTGCAGTATGGCCATCCTTCTGGAAGATGACTTCTCACTTTCTATGTCTCTTGTCTCTCTTTCTGGCAAGTACACACGTCCTATAGCAAAAATCTCTTAAAAAATATATATATATAGAGAGAGAGAAGAAGGAGGGTGAGAGGAAGAGAATCAAGGGAAAAAGAAGCAAAACATTTAAGGGACATAAAAAAGGAAAATTATCTATTGGTGATAACATGCGTGAAAATATCTTTAACTGGACTAATATACAATGTATTCATGCTGAGAAAATTCATTTTGCAAATTGTTATGATATACAGTGATTGAATGTATTAAATTTTTTAGAAAAGAGCAAGTTATTCTGTCTGAAGGAAATAAAAATTAGTTGATCGTGAAATCTTCTGGAAAAGACAGTGTCTGCTGGGTTTTAAAGAATGTATGTGAGTTGGCCAATTGGGCAATAGGGAAAAGATATTTAATATAATAAAAATAATCATAATATCTATCATTTAATGTGAACAAACCATTGTTCTAACACATTAAACCATATGTTAGAAATCATTTCAAGTCCACTTAAAGAACTATTTGATTGAATCCTCTCATGAGTCTATGAGGTACTTACTATTTCTATTTTACAGAAGAGGACAATGGGCACAAGAAGAGATCACTCAGGGGAACCAGCAGTTAGCGTAATGGCTATGTCGCTGGACTCCCACGTAGTTGACCGCGGTTCGTGTCCCGGACCCGGTGGCTTAAAACTCACTCTGGGCGCGTGTGCGTGCGTGCCCAAGATCCCGAGAGGAGAATGGAGGAGAAGGGATTGCGGAATGACCATCCCTTCTGGAGGGTGATTTCTCGCTTTCTGTCTCTATGTCTCTCTCTGTCTGTCTGGCGAGCGCACGCGCCCTACAGTGAAAATCTCTCCAAAAAAAAATAAATAAATAAATAAAAATTAAAAAAAAAAAGAAGAAGAGATCACTCAGCTAATAAGTAAAAGTAAAGAGAATGGGCTAATAAATATAAGGGGCTTTCAAATATTCATGGAAAATATAAATATAAAAAACTATTTCTGGATTCCAAAAGAATTTTGCACCAAAACAGTTACATTTTACACAAACTTTTTGAAGTCCTTTCGTATACTATGATACTTGGGATCTGCTGGAGCAGAATGAGTTACAGGAAAAATGGTGGTTAATGAGACCAGATAAGAAGGCTGGAATTAGGGGGCCAGCAGTTAGCGTAATGGCTATGTCACTGAACTCCCATATAGTCGACAACAGTTCGAGTCCTGGACCCTAGTGGCTTAAACTCCAGCCG